CTATAAAAATCGTAATTATTATTTTTTTATTCAATTATGTATGTATTGTATATTCCCATGTCAAATAAACTAATGTAATCGGTACAGGACAATTTTTAAACATTTCGAAAATATGCTAATGTTTGTAATTACTAATTTACAAGAAAAAGTATATTTACTTTAATTTACTATAACTTTAATTCATTTACATTTTTAATTTTTTTATACATTGTAAGAAAATTACAGTTTATCAAAATGAAATTTTGGAAAAAAGTTTATTCTCAAATATTTTTTAAATTTAAAATGTATTTTCATATTTTGTACTATTTAAATTTGACACAATTTTCGCAACAAAATATTTTAATACAATTTCATTGTATGATTTAAGACTATAATCACCAACATTTTACTGCCAACTAACTATTTTACAATTTTTAATTATTTAGTGATCGACCACTATTTATTTAGGTATATTATTTATAAAATTATATGCAGTCAGTATTCAGTAAATTACTTTTGAAAATTAATATAATTACGTTGTTCGTTACATTTAATGTTTTTATTTAAATTCAATTTGAGTTATCCAACATTATTTTTATCACATTACTTTACTGACTGTTTACAACCCTTGATTTAAGTCTATCTCAGTTCACTGTTTGTTTTCTCTTTCTGGCCCTCTCACAATTTAGACAAAACGCATTCACACAAAAATATATTTTTTTTAATTTTGTTTTTGAGTAATCTTTGAGTAAAATCACCCAATTCAAAAAATGTCGATGTTATGAAATTCGGTTTATCTAGTTATTGTCTCAAAATAATTTAACATTCCATTTAACTTAACAAAAAAATATTTTTATTTTGAGTTTTATGCTAAGTCAATTAATAAAATTAAACCAATGTGTCATATCCTCAAAAATATGTTTTCTGTAATAATTGTTTTATCTGATTAAAGCTAAGATTTCTTAAAATTCATAAAAAACGATTTTATGAGAATGTGTTGTGTTGATTTGAGAGAGAACAAATATTACACTGGAAATTGCCTTATTTGCAAATTAAACGAAATTTATTTGTTAAAAATTTAAAATAACTTTAAATGTATAGTTTATAAAACATATCTACTCTTTAGTCTTTTAAAACAAAACTTTTTTTTTTAGCTCAGCCTTTAAATAGAGAACCACTTTATGGTGAAATCGTTGGATTTAAATCTACCTTAACTAATAATTATGCCAGAGGTAGAATTCATAAATTCTTTGGAAATAACATTTATTCTGTGAAGCACATGGATGATCCTCTTAAAGAAAATATCAACTCATCTGAAATGATAGAATTACAGTTTGAACATAAAAGTGTAAGTATTTAAAAAAAATATATTAAATGCCCTCATATTCATGTATATGTAATATGCATACCTGATGATTCTTAAACAGTAAACACAAATCCGTTCCAAAAAGAAATAGTCTAGTTATATCATTAAATTGAGCTCTGCCTATAATATAGAAGGTGTAACAGAAGTCTTAACAAATGTATTTGACTTTTGTCCTGATTAATATTTAAACATTTATATATGTAGTTTGTAGACTATGTTGCAATATTTATCACTATGTCCACTTCCCTTCAGGATTTAGATGATTTTGATTTCTTTGTTCGATTTCGATAATTTAAAGAACTTTAATAAGGCTAAGTATTAGGGCTGATTAGAAATGTGTTCTACATATATTTTGTAATTAAGTAATTTTCAATATGCCTAATTATTTTTAAGTAATTTATGTTTGTTATAGATGCCTATAAGTTTTTTAAAAGTAGGATTGAAAAATGCTTTACCATATCCCATTCAGTTTGATGCTAAATATTTAGTTGAATACGTTATTGGTGTTCGACTATCTGTGGTAAGTTAATACTTCAAATTAAGAAAAATGTACAGTCATTTTAGTTAAAGGAAAATTATTTTATTAGCATTTTGATGAATCGGAGGCAGAAGGATGGAAATATGTAGATCTAAATATTACTGTTGTAAAAGAAAACTTGAATTCTATGTTATATAGTCTAGTCGAACCTTTGTGGCTGAAAGATAATGTTTCCACATACAGTACGTATATAAGTTTATAATAATTTATTTGTTGTTAAGTAAATTGTATACAATTATGTGTTAAATGTATTTAATGTAAATTGTAAAACTATAAAGTTCTAGTATTTTCAGTTGTAAATTTGTTTACTAACCTGCGAGAGGTACCGGGATCGTTGCCCGGCGCCTCCACCATAAATGTTACGTGATAACAACTAAATTATTGTCCATCACTATTGGTATACGGTATGTAATTGTGTGTCCGTAGTGATAGATCTGTACCAAACGGGAGAATGTGAGGGGATTTGGGTGTTCGACAAGACGGTTAGTTATACAGAGTATAATTTAACATATATTTAAAATGTAAAACAAAGTGTACTATAAAATATTTTATTTTACCGATAACCTGGCGGCAACAATGCACGGAGCAAGTAGTGAAACGAGACCTAGTTCGGCTGACTTATGTCTAGCAGGCCAAAAGAGTATTATACATTTTGTTTACTATACAAAATAGTTATGCATATGTATATGGCTTTACTCCGTGATATTACAGACGAATGAAAGATGACATGCGCGTCTATGATAATATATGTATAGTATATAATACTATACGTAATATTATAATTATAAAAATATGAAAAGAAATATATATATATATATATGTCCAAAGAAGTTGATATTCATTCAGTTCATTAGTATTTCAAAATAATAATACTTATAATATTGTTTAATGGGTAAATGCTCACTACACTTTTCTATGTGTGGTAAAGTGTTATAAAAATGCAGAAATAATTGCTCTACAATAAAATTATCAATTGTTTAAAATAAGTATTATTTATTTTTAATTATAACTATACATTTTATAAACATGCATTCATAATAGTATATTTTAAGTTATAAAATATAATAAATATACACTTAATTGTATTGTATATTAATTATTTCTATTTAAAACTATAGGACATAGGTATATGCTTTAAGATTATTCTTAGGTAAATCTATAAGATAAATGCTTTTAAATTAAAATTGTATTTTATTTGATTCTTTGTCATTAGACGTTTGACCATAACATAGTAATTATCCACACTTTTAATATTAAAATATGTGCTGGAGCTTTTGGCATACCTATCTGAGCCCCATATTTTTATACATAATATGTCTATATGGGTTTGAATAATAGATTGTAAATAAGTATTTTAGTTTTAAGGTTGATTTTGTTATATTTACCTATGATAGACTGGAGTTTAAAAAGTCATCTATTTAATTTTAATTTTGCCAAGTGGTGGTTGTGTCATGGACACATGAAATATTTATTGAAGGGTATTTCTAGGTAGTAAGGCTATGTTGCCTTTAGATATCTGTTTCTTTGAACTCCCTGTTTCACCCAATGACAGGAGTTGACCATAAAAAAGAGAAAAAGTGTATAAACAGATTAATTTTCATTAATTTTGAAATATCTGTAAAATAAATTATTACATAAGATTTTGTTAAACTTACAACATTATTCCAATTTCATATAAACATTTTTATTTTTAATTGGCATTATTTCATATGTAAAATATAGATGAGATTGGAAGATTTACCAAATACATGGATTTATTAAGGAATGAATTAGTTGAAAAATCAGTTGTGGACATGAAGTTTGTTTTGTATCTTGATGGAGTATTTTATATGAGAGACAAATTGTTCGGAAAGTCTTTCTCACTTTTATCTGACATGATTAAAGAGTATTGTAGCTTGAATTTAAATCCTTATTTACCACATGTTGATGAAGTATGCCTTGGCCAATTTCCAGGTATTTATTACTTTAGTTTATTAACCGTATGTGTAGTAATTTGATAAAATATATACATTCATTTGATTTTAGATGGTATGTGGTACAGAGTAATCTGTGATCAAATGAAACCTGGTGAATTGGTTAAAGTACATTCTGTAGATTTGGGAAACATTGCATATTTGAATTCTAAAAATTTAAAAAAACTTCCAGAAGAATTACTATTTCATCCAACTCATGTTTCTCTATGCATTTTAGGTAAACGCTGAACTAAGCTATATCAGTGTCATTGATTTAATTACAAAATATTATGTTTGGTTTTAGATTCTTCTATTCAGATAAATGAAAAAAAGATGGAGTTATTACGAAAATATGAAAACACTGATTGTGAATTAACTATCGTGAAAAGTTTAGATGGAAAAAATCATTATTTATTTAACTGTCCACTCATCGAAGAGGTTCTTCAATGACACTTTAAGTATAAGTAATTGGAATTATTGTAATATCTTAATAATATTATTAAAAATAATAAAATTATATGGACAACATGAATAATAAAAACAAATTGTATTTATCGTAAGTTACATTTAAAAATGTATGTTTAATGTAAAGCAATTTTATACCAGGGGTGGCCAAACTTTTTATTATCGAATAATAATTATTAAGAAACATACTTAATGTCAGGCAGGTGGAGTTGGTGGGTCAGGGTATATCGTTAATGCATTCAAATAGGTGTGTCAAAACTTAAACATTAACATTTAAATACGAATGTGGGTGTTCCTGCAATGTGCAAGTGTAAGTAATCCCCTAAAAAATGTTCATCATATGTGTTCGTATACTCGGATTTTATAGACAAAGATAATCTGTACAAAATATGTCCAACGTTTATAATCATGTTGATGATTAACTTGAGTTTTACGAGCCACAGGGATAAATGCATTGAGAAATAATTGTGCTAGGTAGGTATATAATTATTATACGTCCACCCACTTAAAATGGAAATTAAATAATTTATATGTATTATCTACAAATTATCGCTTCGTTAAATTTGTTGAAATATTATAACGATAATATAGGGCTAAACCCACCAACTGACTAGTTAGACAATACTAATAATACTAGCCTACTGAATTCATGAGATGTGAAAATATTGAATAATGTATACTACTATACTTACTACAAAATCTATTTAAACACATATTTATCTGGATAAAGTCCTTGTCCTTCCAACAGTTCAGATAAATTATTACTGAATGTGATATATTTTACTTTTAATAGTGATAAATCAATACTAGGGATCCATTGAGAAATATTCTGAAAAGCATCAATTGGCAAGGTTTTATTATTGTTAGTAAATTCTATCATACGCTGAGGTGATAAAAAACATAAATCTTTTAAAATTTCACGAGATCCCTTAAATCGCATTTCAATTGAGTTAATAATTGTTTCCAAAACTACATAGTAAACTTCTATTCGAAATTTTTCAGATGGTAACGATGAAGTCTCGTGTGCTGCTTTTTCTCCAGGCATAATTTTTATAGTTCTTTTTCTTGTAACTTTAAAACTATTTTGCTCAAGTCCATTATCATTGGCAAATTTTTTTGCATCATTTATTACATTTATACAACCTACTTCTGATCTCATAACTCGAAGACGGTGTTTTGCTACATCAACTAGTTTTATTGCAGCAATATAATCAATTGATATAGATTGTAAATATTTAGATTCTTCTGTAGTAATAGCAAAAATATTTCTCATAAATATTAATATCAAGACAAACTTAAATGAAGTTATAATATTTTTTAAGCTTTTAGCATATGACATTGAATCTCTATCAAAATCTTTCCCAGTAGAAATTTCATCTAGTGAAGCAACCAATGCATTAAATTTTTTATAGATTACTAATAAAACTCTATCATGAGAAGTCCATCTAGTGTTTGAAAATCTTTTAAGACGACGTTTTCGTTGTTTAGGATATTTAATTTCTTGATATTTTAAAAAAACTGCATTGCGCTTTCTTGCACGTAAAAATTCTACTATACTCGCTATTTCACCAAAAAATGACTTAGTATCAGTACAACAGTCACAAGTGTCTACAACCACCAAATTTAATAAATGAGCTGAACACCAAATGTAAACGGCACGGGGTTTTTCTTTTTGAATTCTTGTTCTTAATCCTGAATACTGACCTTGCATGGAGTTGGCTCCATTATACGCCTGACCTATAAGCTCTTCTTTCCAGTTTATTTGGTATTTTTCTGTAATATCGCAAAATACATTGAACATTCCTAACCCAGTTGCATCAGGTGCAGCAGCTAAAGCTACAAGTCTTTCTTGCACTTTACCTTCTTCGCTAACAAATCGAATAATAAATGTATACTGTTCTACATTTGCTATATTAGTTGTAGTGTCATTTATAACAGAAAATAGTCCTGATCTTTTTACATCTTGTAATATCTTTGAACTAACCATATTAGACATTATATTTAATAATACATTTTGAGAGACATTAGATAAAAAAGTTACACGGTTATGAGTACCTTGTGAATTAATCTTATCTAAATGTGATCTAAGAGGTGCATGGTAGTTTGACAATAATTTGATTAACTCTAAAAAATTACCTCTATTAGCTGAATCAATTTTTTCGTTATGGCCTCTAAGAGCAATTTTCTGTCTTGCAGTAAAAAGCAGAGCTTCTATTACACATTTTAAAATTTCACGGTTTTTCAGCAACTTGTCGATTTTTGGATTCCAAGAGGTTTATATCAATGCGCTTATGGTTCATATATAATCCACGGGCAATTTCACTCTGTATGTGTTCTGGTGATACTTCGTGTTGTGTTATATTTCTACTAATATTTTTATAGTCATTTGATCCATGTATTGCTAAATAATTTTGTTTTGCTCTAGGTAAACCAAAAAGTTTACAAGTATAGCAATAATATCTATTTAGAGATATTGAGTATGATATCCAAGTACGGTTAGCAAATTTTCCATCTCCAAGTTTTTTGTAATAAGATTCATGAAATGATCTAACATGTCCTTTTGAATTAATAATAGTGTTTGGAAAAGTACAGTCTTTTAATTCGGATGGTAATGGTTGGCATGGGCCTTGTAATGAAAAATGATGAATAAGTTTAGATGATAAACTTTTGGGCCAAAGAGCTGGATCATTTTGAAGTACTACAAATAAATAATATAATAATTAATACTAATTAAAATGCCCTAAAAATAACCTATGCCTTATTACCTATTTTTATTTGGTAAAATCAAATTAATTATTAGACATATTAATTCGTTTTTTAATTTAGTATAATAATATGATTCTTATTAATGTAGACAATGTAGTACAATAATATGATTCTTATTTATTTATTATAAATATAAAATTATTTGATATAATTACCTGGGACTGGAAGGCAAGTAGCAGGGACAATCGGTTCTTCATATATCACCATGTTAGCATTTTCAACATCATCAGAGTATTTAGTTACCTGAGTATTTTTCACATTACATTCATTCACATAGTTTAGCTCATCGATTACATTTGTATCTAAAAAGCATAGCATAATTAATATTTGTATGACTATTAATTGGGTACAGGTCTAAAACTGGGTTTGTACATTACATATAAAACTATAAAATATTATTAAATATGTAATATTATTATAATTTATGATAATTATATTATTAGCTTGAGATTAATGGAGAAAAATAACAAACTATTGAATCAAATGCATCAAAATTATACTTAAAATAAGAAATATTAAAATTGATGTAATTTAAATTGAAAGTAAATAGTAATGATTGTTAAATTATAAATAATAATTATTTATAAATTGGATAGTATTTTTATTAATTTCAAATAAATATGTATTAGTAATATATTAGTTATAATTAATTAGTAAATTTAAATATAATATTTTACTTACTTAACTGAAATATGAAATACAATACAACAAAAGCATCATAAATCAGTTATCCTATTATGTACTTATTATACTTACCAGTATTAGATTTATCATCCGTTGTGCTCAGTGTGCTCACAATGTTTAAGTTTGGACCAATTTCTTCTGCAAACGTTACAGAATTTTCAGAAGTCATCGTAATTTTCATAATATTAACACTGCTCGTAAAAGCTACATTATTTTTAAAATTATTGTCTAGCTCAATAATTACATTTGTATGTAAAAAACATAAGTGAAATACTCACAATGTATTAAATTATTCAAACTTTAAATTAGAGATATCTTTTAAAACATAAAAATGTTTAAGAAGAATTTATATAATCTAAATATTTACCGATAATTAGAGCATTCACCATTTCTATTTTAAATATACTGAACATGGTTGGTAATAGGTATTTTTTTATATTTTTTTATGTTGATTAATATTATTAATATTATTTACCTTTACAAGTTTTTTTGGATAACTTGGTGAAAAATGTTGAGATATCACAGTTTTTATGACGTCGCTTTCTTACATCACAAGACTTTATGTGTCGAAGCCAATTAACATCATTTATGTTTGAACTTAATTTATCTTTGCCGCATAAACATTTAGTATCCTCATAGTCTATTGAAGACATTATAAAAACAAAATGGGAACAAGCAAAACTGATGCCAATATGCTGTCACTGTGTCAGCATGGACAAAAAATCACTTGCACAATTACCACCTTACACATTACACGTTTACACATACAATATAATACAAATATAATATAAACACCATCGTACATTTATGATAATAATATCTATAAATAATATCAATAAACAACCTTGTGGGTTTTCCACAAATACGATTCCCGACCACTTGCTGCTACCCCACCGATATCTTACTAGCGTTGCTCGCCGCCATTGACCTATTATAATAGGTCAATACTCGCCGCAGATTGTCAAGACCGATAACGGGCGTAATATACGTATTATATAACTACCTTTTGGCTATTATTGTTGATGCATCATGTATAATGTTTTGCGCCGAGGAGCAGCGTAGCGACGAGTGCTGAAATGCCCACAATCCCTGTTCATTTCAGAGATTTTGCCCTGTCCCTGTGACCTACTTGAGGTGGCGTTGCATAGCAAATCGAGGGATATTTTCGTTTTTAATTGTCCGAGCGAGCGTAGCGAGCGTGTGACCCCACCGGGTGACTTGGTGCAACAAAAAAGCAAGTGACCCCGCTCAGAAAATAGAAATCTCCAGAAAAATTTGAAAATTTTTCTTTTAAAAAAGTGGAAAAAATATGATTGGCCGTTTCAGTCTTGAACTCCGGACGGGCTGCATTTAAATAGGATTAGTATCCATTGCACCTCAATCCTTGATGTACATTGACTAAACTAGCTATTTAAGAGAATTGTGTAAAAGGGTTTAACTTCGCGGGCCTATAACTTGGAAACCAAGTCCGAGTGCCAAATTCTGATTTCACCATAATTTTTTTCGTCAAAAATATGACGAAGTCCCCCAGAAAAATTCGCAAAAAAAAGGGTGTCCGGTAAAGTAGAAAAGTTCCCTAAATTGGGCCTTGACTTTGACTCTCATTTAACTTTTCCAAAACTCTAGTTTGATGTCTTAACTTAAATATCATAAGATCAAAATTTGGATCAAGGCGTAGTGACCGTTTAATTACTAGTTTCTTACAACGAGTGGTATTCTTAATTCCCTGAACGAAAAGCAGTCACAATGCAGTCTGAACAGAATCTAAAAATAAAAATGTATTATTTTACTAATTTTTTTAATTTATAAAATATTATATGCTTTGTAATTACCTATTGAGACATTCTCTAGCAGTCATTATTTTTTCATAACATTCAAACATATTGGACACCCGACACATGAGTTTACTATGTAGACTTTGTGCCGATACTTCAGTTTCGGTGTCGTCTATTATAGCTACTCGGGGAAATCTATGCCATTCGTATAGTGAAGGTTCCCACATTTTGGTAAGATCGGTTGGATCTGCTGAAGCCATTAGAACAATTGTTTTTTTACAATCAGAACTCCGAATCAAAATATTAAATAATCTATGTTTAAGAATTATTGTATTACAACAAATCTATACTATACAGTACTCAAAAATGATAAAATTGTTTTAATTAATCCACCTATAAAACTATTAGAACTTGAAAATATTAAAATGACCAAAAAAAAAAAATTATGCTTATATTCTGCAGCATAGACAAGTGACAAATGACCATGTTATGTTAGTTGTAGATAGTGTTTATAATCCTATAGACTAAAATAAAATGGTAAAATGGACTTATTATATCAATGAGAACCAATATTTCCCAGGAAGGTACACTTCATTCAATCTATGAATAAATAACCATGATATTTCCATTAATTTTGAGTTTACAATTTACAACTAATTAATATGTTGGACTTTAATATAACCAAACTGTTAGCTGGTAGAACATATCCATGTAAATGGTAAAGTACCATATGAACTGCACAACATAATATTTTGTTCTGCTCTTTTGCGCATAATATTATGCATACCCATAAACCAGTCGACGTGATTATAGGGCGTAATGCGTATATACAATGGTTATTTTTAAACGGTATTTATCCTATTTATAATTATTATTATTATTATTATTATTAGGTATCAATTTAATATCTATTGAAATACGATTATACGAAAAAATGTTTTAAAATTGTAATAATTGTCAGTCATCTAAGGTTTTAATTTCTCTGTTCTCTTTATATGTATATTATAACAACAACAATGCCAAGGACATATTGTATTATTTGTAATAAATTGTACACAAATGGTTCAGATAAATCATTTAATGTATCTTTTAATGTAATTTATTACATCATATCATATTATGTTTATTGGTTGTTTTTGCAAGAAATAATGATACTTTTTATTTGAAACTACAAATAGTCTAATCTAATTTATAAAAATCTCGTATCACTGTGGATGTGGTCGTACTCCTCCGAAACGGATGGACCGACTTTATTCACATTTTTTTTTGTATATTTAATAGGGATGGGAATTGGTCGTCAAGTATTTTTCTCATTTATCACATTATCAGCTTAATATTTGATATGATAATAGGGTTCAGCTCAACAACCAGATAAATCACGTTTTACGAATTGGACAGGAGAAGCAAAACCAAATTCTTTGTCTGATTTATCACTTTTGGAGGGAAAAAATTTGTTTTCCGATCTCTTTGGAAATAAAAATGCCATCCTTTTAACCTAAATATTGATAAAAGTGGACTTATCTAGTTGTTGCACCGAATCCTTCAATTATTATATACGAGAGTCGAGAATACTCTATACTAAATAGTGGTGAACACATTGTTATTTCTGCTCTCCGAGATTGTATATATTTTGCTTTATTGTTCATGTTAATCTTAAGGTGTAAAATAGGCAACTTACTATTATAACAATCTTGGAGGCCTATCAATTGCAAAGGTATTTTGATAAGAATAGTTCTAAGTAAATCGCTAGTTTTTATGTCCAGTATTATCGTATACCTATATTATTTGTTAATACTTGCTAGAAAAGTTCATTAGTCAATCGTATTATCGTAGTGCATTGTCCGCGGTATAGCATTTACTGACCAGTCTTACCTACTACCGAAAGCCTAGAAATACTTTATTTTTTCTGAATCGCTTTTTGATTAAGTCGATAATCATTAGTAGGTATCATACTATCATTACTCTGTGTGAACAGGTGTCTCTTCGAAGCGGAAGTCTTAACTGTTGTTTGTACTCTGAATATAAATTATCATAATGCTGTACTTGGATGATTTTCTTGAAAGTAAGTTCTTAAGTTTAAATAATTTTAATCTTCAAAGCAACTGGTTTATTTTAAAATGTTGTGATGTTTAAGAACTTGAACTCTTGCCGCAAGAGATAATAAATCAAACTTCTGAAATTAGACAACTGGATCAACAAGTAAAAGGTATTTCATTTATTATCATTTTATCACTATTAATTTAAAAAAAATCTTATTTGAATTCAATTGTAGTAATGTGGTGTTGATAATTCTAGCTTTAATTGGCTGATAATTTTTACTTTTTATTTTTTTTTGTAATAATATAATAGGTTCATACTATAATGTGCATTTTAATTCAAGGATGAATAACATTATTTTTTAATCATTGTGTAGGTATATAATAAATTTTTTTACTGTAATTCATTAAGTGCTTTTCTCAAATATTGTCGTTATTGTGTTATTATCTATAATAGTTTATAGAGGTAGGCCGAGGATTAAAATTTAAGACAAGTCCAGTTATAAGTAGGACTTATAAACAAATTAACTTTTTAATACAGTTTTTCAATTTATTTTTCAATCATGTAGTTAGGTACTTATTATAATCACAATCTACAGTTAATTAATATGCAACAATTCTTTTATAACATTCCTCACTTTATTATATGAGTATTCATATTCAATCCAGCAATACAATATGTTTTACCTATATCATGGATTTTGTAAATAATGTTGTTTACCATAAATATAAGAATGTTTAAAATTAAAAATCTGTTGAACTTGTATATCATAATTTAAACTAATATAAAATACTTTTAAACCAGAAGGAGAAAATGGGGGCTGATCAGCATTCTTTTTTAATTTAATAGGCGTACGTTAACTGTCATTTAAGTGTATACTAGTATTATCAATAATTTATTGATTCTGGTTAGTGTTAACATTTATTTGTTTACATTAATTAAAATTTTTTCTATTTTTGCGAAACCAGATTTTTGTCAGGTGACAAAATAAATGTTTTAAACTCTTTTTATATATAACAAACAAATACCATATGTCAAATTGTATTGATGTAGGACATTATATTTTATAATAATCTATTTATTGTTGGAATTGACTGTATTCCTTCAGTTTTTACTTAAAAAAACACTTCATATTTATTAGGTAATTATTTGTGCAAAATATTTTGTGTGGGTCAACGCAATAATTCCAATTATGAAATAATATTTTTAGAATAAAAAAAAAAAAAGTAAAATTACTGTAATAAATTGATAATCTAGCACAACATAAAAAAATTAGTTTTTTATACAAAAGAAAAAATTAGGTTTATTTAATTTTAATATAGATTAAGTTGAATACATTTGCATGTAAGGACTATCTTTTTATCTTTTATCTTATTTATAAAACATCAGATATAAAATCTGTATCTTGGATGTCTTATATCTAGTCGACATCGTGCAGAAAGTGGGGAAGTGAATTTTTTTATAATTTTATTTTAAAATTTTAGAATTGTATAATATCGGTTAAGTTTCTATGCTGCAGTCTTGTGAAAAATACTTTTTAAAAGTATTCAAGTACAGATCTTTGTATAGTTTAAAATGCATATTTGAATTTTCAGTAAAAAGAATTTATCAGAAAACAAATTCAAATACTAACAAAATGTTTTAATCTTATAAATTAACTGAACCAATTTTTATGTTCAGGTTAATTTTATAGAGTATTTTACACTGTACCATTTGGTTAAATTTTAAAATACTTATCTGCTTTCCTTATCAAACTATTTGAATTAGTTGTTTACTATACTATAATATTATGCATAAACTTAGTTTTTATTTTTATTTTACACTATCAAAATTAAAGTAGAAAATATATAAACTAAAAAAATCAAGTATTTAAAATACTTATTTGAGATACACATTTAAGTTTAACCGTATTATAAATACTACTTCTTCTTTTATTCCTTATTGGTGCAGTAAAATAAACAAAAACAAACATTTTCATAATATTTAAATATTTAACATTTTTATTCATAATTTGATATCCAGAAAATAATTTTAAAAATTAAAAATTTAGTTGTCATAAACGAAGTGAAGATTTTGCATAGAAATTATAACATTTCATGAAAAAATTTACATACATTAACCTAAAATTAATAAATTATACAGGTAAATTAAACATTTTTGTTTCAAAATTGATTGAAAATGCTTGTCATGTGCTAAAAAAAAATACATTTTGTACTGCACACGTGTGACGCCCTAAGTGTTAAAAATTAAAAAATTTCACAAAATATTATGTATTTCAGTATCTCCTAGGTTTCCCCAACATTAATTTCAATACTAGTTCATCCGTGTGAAATACTTAGTGTTACCTTTAATTTTGATCACACTGTATATATTATATATTGTATACATTATGCCTAATTTCAGACTCTATGGATTGTGTAAAAAGGAATGTAGATAATTTATTTTCAAACGCTAATACTATGCATCCAGATGATTTGTATGCTGATTTCAACACAGTTATGAAAGTTGGTGACAAAGCTCTTAAGCAATCTGGTGAATATGATAATTTGTTATAATGTATTATATTTGATTTAATAATTATAAACTGATTCTCTTAACTTTGAACCTTACTTGTTTATTATAATTTTTTTTAGTTTATATTTTGACCTTTAATTTTAGATGACAAAATTCAAATAGCCAATAACATGCAAAAATTAGTGGGCAGATACATTAACCATATTGATATTGAGTTACAAAAATTTAAAAGAGATTTGGATGTTGTGAAAAGTGGTACCACTGAACTGATTGAAAAAAGTAATTTTATTTTGAAATATGTTGTATTATTTTCCTTTGATAGCTTTAATAGCTGCCTATTGGCCAGTAGTCATATTTTTACTGTTTGAATACATGTGGTAGAATCTTAGGAATATGATTGGCATGTTTGAAATAGTAGTCAAGTTTAATAATTATTATTATTCCACATAATTATGGAACAGATTTTAGTATAAAAACATTTTTTTACCTAGTTGTGTTATTTGATATCTGGTAAGAATATAAATATGTTTTGTGCACTTCTAAGTAAATTTATACTAATATATTTTGAAATGTTATTACATATTTGGATACAAATTCATATTTTTACAAAATTAGTAAATATATACATACTTGTATTTAGTAAAAATTTGAGGATTTTTGTTTTATTTTTTCAATATGTTGGTAAATGTGGTTTATTTAGTTTTCTTTTTTTCACTATTACTCATTCTTTTTTCTTTTTATATCAAACTTTTGTTTTTGTTGAATAAGTGTCATTATTTTTTAAAAACTTGTTAGGATCCCCCAGTTTAAAAAAAAAAGTAATAAGAATGCTGAATACTATAAATATTGCTTCCAGTCGCAAACACTAAACAGCTTATCCTTTTTCATACTACTTCACACTACTAATTATTTCCTCAATGTTTAAAATAATGTTTATTGTACTATTGTTAAGAAATATTTGTCATTTTCGGTCTATAAATATTACGTAAACAATGGCTAGAGTTAATATATATATATTTTGTTCTGTACTTTGGGCCACTACTCGTTTTGTTATAAAATAAATAAATAATTATTATTTATTATACACTCTTATTATTTATATATTATAGTTGATAATATTTATTTTATTTTTAATTTCGTTCACCATAAAAATTGCTTGAAATTGTTGTATATTAATCTTGGTGTAAAATAGTACCTAATACTTTTATGTAAATAATCTTTTAAATAAACTTAAAAAATATTTATTTGCAGATAATTTTCTGTACAAAGTCTATGTTACAGTTAATGTAATTAATAAGTGAATTTAATAATTATCATTTATGTTAGTAAAACATTATCTTATATTATATTTACTGAACATAGTGGTACATAATGTGTGAATCTAAGAAAAATTAAATTTAATCTTATGATGCTTGTTATACTGTTGTCTGTTTTATTTAAAAGAGAACCATATTAAATACAATTTTATGTTTTGATGAAAATAATATTTATTTCTATATTGCAGAGATCGAAAAAGTATTTAACAATGGTATCAGTTTCGAGGAACAATTGACTGCTGATTCACATTTATCTGGTACAGGTGGCTTAGAATTACAAATTGATGCAGTTCCTACTAACTCTCAAATGGATCTATATCCATTATCATACGCTTCAGAACATATTGGGGCTACTAGCTCTGATATTTCAGCAGCTGCATCCAAAACTAAAGTTAACACTAAAAAGGTATTATTAAAAATAAATTTGGAGAAATTTATACTCCCTTTGCTTAGTGAGATTATTGTAATATTATTTATTATACAGTGTTAGTAAAAATACCCTAAGGTATTTTAGCAGGTGCATCCAATGCTAATGTCAATACTTAAAAGGTATTATTAAAAATAGATTTAGAGAAATTTATATTTTCTTAGCATTGTAAAATTATTATTCACTATACAGGTGATAACAGAAAGACCTGAAAAACTAAAAATCAGAAGTTGACACAAGTGAAATATATGTTGGTATATGTATTTTTTTTTTTTAATATTGATTAGGAAAATAGTTTCGTTTTATTTTTGATGTTTTTCTGTTATACCTTGTATATTGAATGACTTGTTAACTGTTTTATTATTAATTTAATATTAATAACTCAAGTCACATTTTTAAAGGAAATTATCATTTAATTAATTCTTATTAAAAGTTATTATTTTTACAACATGTAAAACTAATTTCTTTTTAACAGATTTTTACCCTATAAACTTTTATAATAAATTATAGTACTTTTGAAATTTGAATACAACAATTATTGTAGACATATAACATATAAATATAGAAAATTCTAATGCTATTCTCCTCTGTGTTTTATTAACTGTTGTAAATTGAGTATTTAAAAATGTTTTAGTTATAAATTATATAAGATATTAAATCTTAATATTGTAATGAAATAAGTTTCATGTCATTATATTTATTTAAATGTCTCAATATCAACTTCAAATTCTTCTATCTTTAATTTTATTGTTGATGAACAAACAATTATTTTTTATATTTGATTTATCATTAATTTTTTAGTACCAACGAAAATAACACTATATTTGTTATTTTAAACGGAAATTGCCATAATAGATCAAATTAATAGAATCAGTTAATATTCTAATTAGTATTAATATTTTATTTTATTTGTTCAGAAGATTAAAGGTTGTAAGAGAGCCAATTTAAAAGTATCTACTGTAAGAATCAAATGTAATAAAACAAGTTCTGTGTCGGTTGCATTATTGCCAGAACAGCCTATCGATAGACAATTATCGCAATCGGGTGGTTCAAATAAAAATCAAACTAAAAAACGCACAAAGTAAGTATTAATTATAAGTAACTAATTTAACTCATTTTTTTAAACATTATAATAATTTTTTTTCAGAAATGTTGAACCAGAAGAAACGAAGAGAAACGATTTTATTGATATTATGACAACTGATGATGATAAAATTGATGAATACCATAATCTTCGTTATTGTATATGCAATGAAGTTGCATATGGTGAAATGATTGCTTGTGATAATAGAAAGGTAGGGGTGATTAGAAAAATAAAAATATAGTTATAATGGTCTGTAAAAATGTGTGTTTATACAATTCATATTTTCGGTTTTAGTGTCCTCGTGAATGGTTTCATTATAGTTGTGTTGGTATTCAATCTGCACCTACTGGAAAATGGTATTGTTTAGACTGTGCTTCCAAAATGAAGAAAAGAAGACGATGAAGATGTTGTATAACTACATCAATTGCCTTATTGTACTTATAATTTTGAAAATGTACTTACCTAAAGTTTGTCTCATGAAAGAAAGGTTGTGTAAAATCAAAATCTGTGTCATTCTTGCCTATCTCCCAGACCTCACATGACTTTGTTCTCACTACCATAGATAATATTTACATAGATAGGACACCCCCATACATAATGTACCCAATATTGTGACCGAAGAGTCTGCTGGTTACCTTATTGGTTATTTGGGGTACTAGATACTGGTTATATTTGATTATATTTGATGATTATACGCACCGAAGAGCATTTAGTTGGCAAAAATATAGTAAAATAAGTTAATACAGTTATATATATAGATAACAGGTAAAATTAAAGTGGCAGGACTAAGGTTGGTTTAATAGGTGCAACATTCTGTGGAGAGGCTGGTTGTGACCATACGAGGTGAGATGGGTAGGGTTAGAGAAAAGAGAATGGTGTCTAGTAGAGTAGGAGGGAACGCGAAATGAAACAGTGGCTAGTAAGTCGGGGGAGTCGATGGTACCATTGAGTAGAGATGTGATGAACATGAGATCTGCGTGTTTACGGTGAGATGCAAGAGTTGGGATATTGAGAGTGGAGCGGATAACGTCATAATCATTAGGTGTGTGTTCAATGTTTAATAAATAGGCAATAAAAGATAGGAAACGATTTTGTACTCGTTCAAGTCGCAATTGATCACAGGCCAGATATGGAAACCAAACGACCGATCCATATTCAAGGATGGAACGGACAAGGCTGAAGTAGAGGGTACGGAGACAGATGGTGGAGGTAAAGAGGGTTGTGTTTCGTTTGATGAATCCGAGGATCTTCAGACTTTTCCCAACAGTGACATTTAAGTGGTGTTTGAAGGAGAGGGTGGGTGATAGATAGAAGCCTAAATCGTTGATAAGATGGACGCGAAAGAGGGGGGAGCTGCCAAGGTGGTTAGAGTGTACTATGGGGCTACGTTTCCTACAGAAAGTCATAGTGTGACATTTGTCCAAGTTGAGGGGCAGGTTAAGGAGACGCGTTCAATCGAAGAAATGGTTATACGATAAAGACAATTTTCATCATTCTAATATTAGCCAATTTTTTTAATTAAATAATTACCTATATTTAGCCTGGTGTTTTTTTACTATTATTATTGACTATTGGAATTACCTACTATCTTATCAGTGTTCTTAAGTTATTATAAAAAAGTACAAAATAAAATAGTAGGTATATAAACGTTTGTGTTATGGTTTCGTACCACAGTTTGTTAGGATACCGTACCTTAATTACATGTAACCACTTTCGTAACTAGTATGCTCTGTGATCCTACTTGAATACGCAGTATGTCCCATCCATGTATATATTATCTATGCTCACCACTACCCAGTACACTTGAGTTAGCCTCTAGTTCTGTGCGACAGCGGATAGTGAGTAAACACATGCTTGTTTATATACAGAGATTGCTCGTAGAAGGGATTCGATGGTTCGGCAGCAGTGTGGAGCTCAGTCTGCATGCGCGAAACGGTATCTTTCTCTCATGAGACAGACTATATAGTATATACTATTGAATAAATAGTAAAATAGCATTTATATTAATTTTTTTTATTAATTTTTTATTTTTAATCTGCCTTTATTATTTTTTAGGTTTTTTATGAAAAAAGAATATTGCGATAATACAAGACTTTACCTGTGAACTCATAGCATAGTAGTTCATGAGCTGAAAAATTATAACTATTCATTTTTCTTCGGATATTGAAAAAAAAACAATTTCAGAATTTATCATAGAAATACTAGACATAAGAAAATATTATTGATCATCACTAATACTTAAAGAGGATTTAAGCAAATATTTGTTTACTCTCTCAGACCAATACGCAATATACATAAAATCGGTTTATCATTTTTAAGTAATCTTAGGGTAAAATTACCTATTACAAGAATTGAGACTTTGACTTGAAAAAGATACTAAGTCGTAAAAACCAAATATTACAAGAGAAGAAAAAACTTTTGTAGCATAAGTAAACTAACAGTAGTGCTGTCTTGTGTTCAAAGTTTTACCTGGTTATTGTCATATTTAAATTTTTTTTACTTATTACCTTTTCCATGTTTACGCCTAAATTATAGAGGATTTTTTTTCAAGAATTCGACATATTTTTTTCATATATTTTTATTATATGGCTTTTTATTTGACTTAAAAATTAAGATAAAAAATGTATAAATTTAAATGGATATTTTTTGTATTGCGATAATAAGACAAATCAATAGCCTACCCTCAACAATATTATCCTCTATAATTTTTGTAATATATAATTTTACCCTTAAATTACTCAAAAACAAAAAAAAAAAATTGTGTGAATATGTTTTGTCTATGTTGCATTTGGGTCAAAAAGAAAACAGTTTGCTGACATCCTGCGCTTATTGAATAAATTAATAATACTTATCTTCATTTTTTTATTTTGTTATCCTATTATCCCAGATATATTAAGACTACATTCAATATAAAATTAATAATTTCTAACTGTAAATTTAGTACCTAGAAATTATTCTAAATTCCAATGTGTAGTGAACTAAATATTAATAGGTAAGTACTTATACTTAAAGGCTAATCATTAAATGTACATTTTTTTTTTTCAAATTAATTTTTATGTGTAATGTACTAGCATACTAGAATATTATTGTTTTAAATAAATATTCTGAAAATGGTGTTTTTCTCTGTAAGAATAAATAAAAATATTCATATTATATGGTATCATTATTAATTCATATAGTATTTAAATTATTTATTTATATTAGGTAGACATGTATACAACAATGTTTTAGGCAAATAATTAGTATGTTTTTTAATTTATTATAAAAATTAATAATTTCACTATGAAAGGTAGATCTTAGGTACACACAAAATGTAGAGAAGTGTATAAGATATATAAGATACATACATACAAATACAATTTATGAATTTATGAGTGGAGTACCTATTATAAAAACTTTATAACTTTCACTTTTATTTTGTAATGTACCTAACATTTTCCACAACACATTCTTTATAGATGTAGCGAGCTGTGACTATTTTTAAATATTATAAATAATCATTCCAGTAAATCACTCCAGTAGTTTATAAATACACAGAAGAAACACGATATGTTGAAGGAGGCCTACGAAGCGTTTATTGCGCGTGACCTCGAAACGTATATGTTAATAGATATATCACTACTTATATGAATATTATTAAAATAGTTCACATTAACAGCATTGTGTTGCCTCAATAGAGATGACAACGACCAGATAAGCAAGGGATATCCGGCGTGTGCAGCGCGTGGCCGCCCACGGTATGACCTTATATGGTAAAGTAGTAGGATAATAAGGAGGGATACGATCCAAGGATCACCATTATAAAATACGTCGCTCGAATAGGCTTCGGCAGACGGACCAACACCAACAACAAGCTAGGAGCTAGGATATGACAGTCACATCTCGCTAGTCTTCATTATTTAATATAGTCATTTTGGACTTAGTAAATTTATTGTTTTTGTATTAATCAAAATAAAAGTATTCAATTTATAAAGAAAAAACAAACTCTTTTTCATTTATTCTCAACACCATCAAACGAACGTAGTCGGTTTGTTACAATTGGCATTTGGCGCTGTGGACAGGGTTTGCAAAATGATAAAAATTTTGGAAACGAATATTTTTGAATTATTTCAAAATATTCCAACCAAATTAATTCAAGGAGGCAATTCAATCTAATTGAATCATCGTTGGAAGTCGGTGAAGATCAACTCTCAACAACTCCGCAAAAGATCCTGTCAGCAACATCGATTACGTTCCAAGTCAAATTACATGGAGGTACCAACTACACATACCATGAATCAAGTATCAGCTGCATTGGTGTAAGTAGTAATTATAATGTCGAATTTAAGAATAATTTTGTTGTCCGTCTCCTATGGTATATTTTATGACCATAGTATATTTTAATAGCACGCAATAAAAAGTGGTAAAATTATAACATTTGAATATACATATTAAGTATTTATTATTTTATTTAGTTGGAATTGTTTATCGATCACAAAAATAGACAATAATCAGAACATTCTATATTTTTCTTAAATATTTTAAAATTTTAGTAACACAAATAATTAAATTAAATTAAATAAAAAAAAATAATAAATTAAATAAAAAAAATATATATATTTAAAATATAACAAATATTAGAGATATTAGAGATATTAAATTGAGAATTGTTTAAAAAAAAATTAGTGAATATATTTGAGAGTTAAAAAGAATTCTTATTGTGAATTATTGAGAAGTAATTGAGTATTTTATTTAAAGGCCGTGTAGTAAGTCCTTCTGGTTAAAATTTTTATTGTGAATTATTTAGAATTAATTGAGTATTTTATTTAAATGCCGTGTGGTAAGTCCTTGTGTATTGAATTTATTAGACAAGTTGAAGTCTATTTTATTGGGGAATTTTAAAGGCCGTGTAGTAAGTCCTTCTGTTTTGAATTTTATTAGACAAGTTGAAGTCTATTTTATTGGTGAATTTTAAAGGCCGTGTAGTAAGTCCTTGTGTTTTGAATTTTATTAGACAAGTTGAGACATTGTTTGACATTGTTGAGAATATTGAATTTATTGTTGTTTATTGTGATGAATTTAGGCAAGTATAAGTCCTACGAATTAATTAATTAAAGGCCGGAATAAGTCCTTTTGGTGAAAAATTATAAATAATTTTATTGAAGTTATTAAGGCCGGAATAAGTCCTTAGATATTATTGAGAGATATTTGAATAAATTAATTTGAGTTTATAAGGCCGTGATAAGTCCTTAAATATATGTTGAAATTATATTGAAGTTTTAATTGTGAATTAGAAAAAATTTTGTAACGCCGTAATAAGTCCTAATAAAAAAAAAAAAAAATAAAATAAAATATTTTAAGAATAAGTAATTAAAAGTAAATTAGATAATTGAATTAAATTAATTTTGTTGAGTGACAAGTTATTGAAATATAAGGAATAAAAATATAATAATTGTTGAATCAATTAAAATATTAGAAGTAAAGTTGTAATAAATATTTTAGTAGTACGTATTGAATAAATTTATGGGTTTATTGGCGAATAATAAAGAATTTATAGAATAATAATTTTACGTATTAAAATAATAATCGTGTAAAATATTACGATTTAAATTAAATTTAATGAATAAATTAATTTAATGAGTCAAGGAAATAAAAATAAGATAAGTGAAAATAAAAATTTGGTAACAGAAGTTAAAGAGGTTGATGAATCCAAAATTAAAGAAATAATTAACGAAGCAGTAATAAGCGATAATATTAGTGAAATAAAAACTATTATAATTATAATAATATCCAATGCTATCAGTTTGGAGGAAATCATTACGCACGCGACTGTAATACGAGTATACGACGAAATAATAATGCGCAACCGCCTAACAATAATTTTACGCGGCTCTTCTTCATTTATTCTCAACACCATCAAACGAACGTAGTCGGTTTGTTACATAGATATTAAACATCTCAATTAATAATTTAATATATAATGTATTAGTCATTCCTAAATGATTCTAAAAATTAGGGAAAAGCGGAAATCTTTAAGTAAAACCGGAGAGATTTCGAAAAAAAATACAATAAATATTAATAATTGACTTAAGGAAGGTGGCTTTTGTTGTGCTGTTTGGCGATATAATTCAACATAGACAATATATTACATATAATTACACGGGTAATATTATTACAATAGTAGCTTATATTCATTAAATGCCTAATATAAAACAGCCACGACTCCCTGATTTAAGAAGAAACTGGCTTGATGGGAATTATGAAAATATAAGTGGGTAGTATAAATGATGTATATTATTAGGTTCATATTTTAAAAGTTGATACATGGATGAGTGACTCTATTCATATTTTCAATAATATTAACTATCATTATGTAATATTATTCAGTACCTAGTGGTTTGTTCTATCCCCGGCCGATCGTGTGAAAACTTTATAGCTCCACCGCGACACTCAGGTTTGTTATCTTCGCCAACATTTAAATGCAATAGCTAATTGAACTGTTCTCGGAAAAAATTTACAATTATCTCACGAAATGACATGCCGGATCTGCTCATGTAGAAAGAGGACAAAAGAAGTCCGTTTACCGACGTAATATTGAGTATCGACTCAATGTCTTCAACGTCGACAGCCACCTCTAAAATCACGCGCCGCCAGAAAAGAATTTGATGCAGGAATTTTAAAAGTAAGCGGAAAATATTATCATCGAAAGGGAATTTAACTTGTTCTAAGTTGGCATCACCTGATAGGTTGTACACGTCTTTATCAAGTCGCTGTGTTGTCCATTCTCCGACGCCAGAAAACTGCGGCATCATTGTGTCCGCCCGCTCAGTTGTTTTATTAACGCGTCTCTTCGTTTTCTACCGCCTATAACATTTTCTCAGATTTTTCGTCATCTTTGAATTTGTCTGTTGTCTCCGAACGTCAAGTCCAGTTCGTATTTTCATAACGCGTTAAGATTTCGTTCGAGTAGTACGCGTTGCTTAAAATCCGTGTTTAGAGCGTCTGTATTGTGCGCGGGTGTTCTGAAATTTGGTCACCGACAGAAGCATTTTGTTACTATCGCCGACACATAGGCGTGCAAAGGACTATTAGATAGTTCACAAAGTGTGCAGAAATACTTCTCCTTGGGTTCCTTGACCTACGACAATTCGGTAAGATAATTAAATATTATTATCTCTATATTATTATAATGAACATTTGGTTTAAAACTATTTCAATTTTTTAGACACTATATGTAAATTGAGTGTTATTTAAAAAAATAAAAACAATTGTTAATGTACATGCACTTATTTTTACATTATGTACATTTAAAACTGTAATTTGCTCTGTATACCTATAGTGTCTTAAATTCATCAATTGAATATCTTTGTCTCATTGACCTTGCAATTTCTTGCTCAATAAATATTGTCAGTAAGGCATCTAATCTTACTTCGCCATTGTACTGTAAAACTATTATTTCGTTACTTTACCGAACTGTAATAAACTTCAAAAGAACCTAACCTAACAAGAAAATGAGATAGATGATTGCTTCTAGGAACGCCTGAAGTAGGTTATTAATTAGAATACTTTAATATACCTAATATCTATAATATAACCAAAATACAATTTTTTTATTTTAACATTGAACGTCCTCTCATTAGAGTAAATTTAATCAAAGATGTTGGCATGTATTTGGAAATTGGTCTTTCTTTTAAAACAAATCATGAGATGATAATTAATAAATTGCTTAAGATGTTAGGCTTTATTAATAGGAATATTAATGATTTTAGAAATCTGTTTTGTCTGTATGCATTATATACTTCTTTAGTTAGATCCAATCTTGGTTTTGGCTCCGAAATTTAGTCCTGCAAATGCTTGACATACTTAAACGATTTAGATTATGTTCAATATACATTTTCAAAAATTATTTTGTATATGTCTTATTATCCATTACATAGGGACCCTCTCCATCTAACTCAAGATTATATTGGCCTTGTTTCCCTTTCACTTCGGCTCAAATTAACTGATATAATGTTTGCTTTGATCTTATTAATTTTAATATTGTGTGTCTTGAGCTGTTATATGAAATTGGCTTTCAAATTCCATATCTAATTACACTCAATTCATATTTATTATTTGTTCCTCATCATATGACTAATAGTGGTACCAATTCTCTTTTGTCTCTATCGTTAATTTTAGCGAAGAACAAATGATATATTTTGCATACAATACATATTAATACTATTTATTAGTCTGAATTATTTATATACTAGGTACTAAAATTATTTTATTTTATTTAAATTTTTTTATAACTACACTTAATTAATTAATTTGTAGACTGAATATGTTTTGTTTGTATACTTTGTATACTCGTTAATACATATAATAAATAAATAATAATACTTAAATGATACCTTCATAATAAATCTCCACAAACTACCTTATTCTACATTTTAATTTCAATTTTCCAATATTTGTACAGCACGTCCCATAAGACCTAAACTTTGAACTAAAGTAATTTTTTGGGATTTTTTGTTGTTTCTAGATGTTATATTGTATCCTCCCAAAATTCAAAGTTATATTAGATATACAAATTAAATAATCTTTGATATTAAGTGAGTTTGGTTTTTTAATAGAAACTGCTGAAGTAAGATCAAATTTTGTGTTGACACTAGCTCTTTTATTTTTTGAATTTTTTCGCAATGGTATTTTACTTACAACTCGGCGAGGCTCTGGTAACTTTTGGTTTTGGAAAAAGACTAATATTTGATAAATACATTCATCCATGAGTTACTCGACACCTGCTGTTGAGCAGAGCAATTATCTTGTTAACAGCTATTTATAATGTTATATTTGTCCAATAATATTCCATAAAAATATTGATTTCATGATATTATTTTATTCTTAACACTTTAGTTAAGTTCTAACTTTTGTCAACAGAATTTATTCCTGTAAAAAAAAATGGGAAAAGATACAAAAAAAACAAAACTCTATTGTCCAATTACGATGGTGAGATACGATATTGCTGGGAACAGTACATACTGGACGTGTAGAATGTGCTTGAAATGTTTATTAAGTGAAGAAGCTGCACGTCGTCACGTTAAGATTTGTAATAGAAAAACTCCTCAGAGGCCCAAGTCACACCCATACCTACAATAAACTAACTTGCTATAAAGTAATTGTTCATCTAGTCTTGTTTTTTCTTTCAATTATTATCAAACCTAATGTTCTAAAGTTAATTAATTTTTATTTTGTTCAGTTTTGACAGTAACAGTTATGTTTGTGAATTTTGTAACATGGTATTTTCCCGACGAGTGATATTGAAGAAACATGTGGAAGGACATCAAAAGACAAACAATAGTGATGACAATGAAAATTATTCAGACCAAAACTTGAAATTTTGAATTTAATAATTTAGATTGTTTATCACTGATTAACTGTTATTTGACATTTTTAAATATACATAAAGACCATATTTTTAAGCTCTTAAGATTTTTTTGTACTATCTAAGGAGTTTCCTGTGGATATACAAATTCTGGTCTTGTAAATATTTCAGTTTCATGAAAATTAAGAATACAATTTTTATTTAACACTATAGTAGGAAATACAGTAAACACATCTACTTAGAAGCTATAAAATAGCTATAAATGCTGAAATTCATGAAAATACGCTTGCTGTATATAAATAATACGTACCAATCCGTATTAGATTCAGATTCAATACTATTCTTTAAAAATATATACCAAATTTTTATTCTTGAAAATCTTTAATCATACAACTAGTTACTGAATTTTATGTATTAAAAAATTAATGTATTTTTAAAGTTAAACACAATCCCTATCTACTGTTTGCCTATATACTGTATTTAAGCTTACTGTTCTAAATACAAGGTATTCATTAGGTATCTTCCGGGCTTTGTAAGCTATGTTTAAAACTTCACTAATCAATTTTACTCTTATCATATAAAAAAAATTTTCTTATCAAATATTACAAAATTCACATAATTGAATAATAAAATTATTGAAGTATTTGATTTTAGTTTTTTCAGTACTGTTTGTTGTAAAAAAAATATTATATAAATATGTAACAACATTATTTTAATATATTTATGTATATACTTTATACAATATTATTCTAATTTAGTTAAATTATTATAATATAATATTTATATAGTCATAACTCATTATATTGTTCAGTGATACTCCATGGTAGTAAACAGTACCTAGTCAAATGTGTGGAAGTATTTATTCAAATAGCCGTCAAGACCGTCAAGTAAGTAACTCTGCTGTACAGTAGGTCTCAACTGTCGAGTATACGTCTTCATTAAGAGTATGTCAGCTCACTGTTTGTTTTCTCTCTCTGGCCCACTCGCTACATAGATAAAACGCATTTATGCAGAATCCCTTTTTTTATGCTTTTGAGTTATCTTCAAGTAAAATCACTTATCACAAAATCGAAAAAATTATTTTTGAGAGAATATCATATCGATTTGTCTAAATATTTTCTTAAAACTAATATACAAATTATTTATTTTTATTTTGCAAGTCGAATACTTAGTCAAATAATAATAAAATATAGAACCAATATGTCATACCCTCAAAAATATTATCTTCTATTATTTATGTCATTGGTAATTTTACTCTAAGATTACTAATTATAAAAAACGGTTTTAGATGAAAGCATTTTATCCATGTTGCGCGTGAGTCTGAGAGAGAAAACAAATATCGCGCTAAAACCTAACCGCTGTAATTGATATTCAATTTGTACAAGCTCATTAACGATTCTGAGGGAAGAAGGTATAGGCTTTTTTTGTAACCTAACTTATCAATCAATTATTATTTTAATAATAATATTAACATTTTAACAATTAATGTACAGGTTACATACAATAATACAAATTATAATTGTTATTGTTTAAATATAATAAGTACATATTATACATATTATACACTTTTATATTATTAGCGCCGCATATTGACTACTAATTATTCAGTGTTAGTAGTATCATATTCAATATTCATATATATTTTTATTTATTTATTTAGCAGTTACAATGTTTACAGAAACGATTTTTATATATTTTGTAATTAGGTACATTACTTAGTCTATCAATATAAGGATAAAGTTCCTTGTTTTGATAGAAGAGACTAAGAGAGTCTCTTAGAAAATATAAATATATTTTATAGTAAGAATAAGAATAGGGTAATAAAATAAAGATAATGATAAATAAAACGTATAATCAAAAACGTCATAACATCCGTACAGCCATTATGCAGAAGTCATAAAAATCGATACAAATAAAGCATACAATATAGGAGTTTTTACGAGACCTTCAATCTAAGGTCATTACACTCAATATGTCACTACAGCCGGTGTCTTTATAAACAGTTTCTACTGTATATTTATAATATGTATGAAGTCAGAGTCTGCGCTTGCCTATGAGTATTATATATATTGACATATTGTTATCAGTGGTGTATTGGTAGGGGGGTATGAGGGGGTATTACGGCGTTTACTCCCTTCTCTATTCTTTTAGAGTATATTCTCTAAATGAACGACGATTGTACAAAAGTGAAACGGTTTTGCCGCCAACGGCACGGACGCTCCAAGCTCGTCCTCACGTCAAATCTCCCAGCGACACTTTCCCCCTCCGTGGTCCTGCGTCTCCGGTGCGCTGGTCCGCGAGCTTGGCCATCGGCCGTCGTGAGCTCGGCCTGCGCCCTGCTGTCTTTTTCCAGCGGTTGATCGGAGCGCAACGTTTCGTGTTCCCGTTCTCCGCGTCGTGCTTGCCGCTGCGAAACCTCGTGTGATTACGAGAATGGTGTTTTCCGTTATTGCTGAGATCAGCTACCAAGTATTACCGGTACGCTTTCGAGTTCGGTGTTCCAGTGGTCGGACCGGGTACCAGGTGCAGTGCAATTGTTGCACCCACCGTCAAGATTGTTGCTAGTAGTCGTGCCACGCCGCTGCCGAACCAGGTTCATTGTTGTTTTGAAGTCCCCCTCGTCGTCATTGGGAAGTTCGCCCTATTATATATTGTATACCAAAAAAAAATTATGTTTAGATGTTAAGTTAATTCTGGACGTCCGCTATAATTGTTTGTAATTGTTGTGTTAATACCAATTACACGTGTTTTCCACCAGTAAAATCGGCTTTTAAAATATATTGGGTAACACAATAACGTTCCCGTCCTTCACCCTAAGCAAGTCGTTGCCGACAACCGCCTAAATTTGTAGGATCGGTATCGGCGCCAATGCCGCCAATAACGATATTCGGGTGTACGGACGGATAAACGTAGATCTATCAGAATTTTGGGTAATGATAACAAAATGTTCTATAATTATTTGTAATTTTCATTTCTCAGATAGTGTTTGCTATTTAGTACATAATATTATTAGCTGATTATCAAAAAATATTTTGAGAACCAATTACCAGTTTAAGATAGTTTAGATGTACCAGATAGATATAAAATATATATTAAGTCCATTTTCAACTCTTCGTGCTTGCGAATTAATAATATATACAAACATGTATAAATGTATAATTGTATGTGTTTATATAATGAGTGTGTAGCTACTGGCTATGTGGGTATGACATACAGGGTCTGGACCATTCCAATGGATTGACAGAATTTAAAATGTATGTGGTGTAAACCACTGATTGTATAATATTTTTTCATGTTAAAAAAAATTTGGATGTGAGTAACAAAATACTGAATACATTCCACAACATTGCTGGTCGCTGAATCAAATTTTTAGTTCACATTTAAATAATTTTTGTTTTAAATATCATAATATATTTTATTTTAAGGTTACTTTTAAAACAAAAAGTCTTGTGTATATCTAATTAAGTTAAAAACCAAGTTGATGAAAATTAATTTTTAAAAGTTAAAATTAACTTTTTTAACTCGTTAATATCCGGGCTTGTTATTTTAGGTCCTTATTCGGTTTCCTCATCAGTTTCCTGTGTAATAGGTAGATGTTTAGCGTCTTGAGGTCCGAGTGTCCGGCAAGCGACAAGTGGCGACAGAGAAAAACAAATTTAGTAGCCGAAGAATTTATGGGTGTTAATGTATAAGAAATAGAAATTAAAATGTTGCTCCATTACAAATCATTATCATATTATAAGGGCAGTCATCAATAGTCGAGAACGTAATTATTTATTAATTTATTGTTTTCAAAAAATTACAATTTCTAAAATATATAAAATACACTGGTGCCCATAGAAGCAATTTCAACTTTTGACTGGGGGGGGGGGGGGCTGAATATATTAAAGGCTTTGTTCCTCCCTCCCACCATTCACCATTCACATTATCTCACCTGGCGATTGTAAACTCCGCCAGAATACAGGTTAGATAAAAAGGTAATGAAAAGGTCTAATGTAAACTCCACCGTTTTTTTTTCTTACCTTTCATTTATATATGGAAACTCTGCCAGTAATTATATACAATTTAATAATATACCTCAACTAATGAAGTTCAAAAATCAAAAATGATATTGTTAGAGAATATTATGAATAGTTATGATAATGGATTTATATTAGACTTAGATGTCAGAATATCTACAAATTATAGCTCAATATTTTAGTTCACAGTTCCATATATTATAAGTTACAATATATGGAACTGTGAAATGATGTAACTGTATTATAATTTATAACATAACATACCATACCTAGGTTGCTAGATACATATTTTATGATTATTACAATTATTTACTATGATAATACGTTAATACCTACACATGATAATTTGGATGATCTGTTCTGACAATTATAATTTTTATTAATTGTTGTATATTATTAGGGATATTATAATAATGTACACGATATCTGTCCTATATATTAATTTTATACTGTGTCTTGACTGTTTCTTCACTGACAAAGTTTTCATGAACATAATTTTAACTGATTTTTTACACTGGCAGAGTTTACATGAACCCAATTTTACCTGTTTTTTTCCTGGCGGAGTTTACATGCGCCCATCTTACCTTATAAATATTACTTCATAATTTCCTTAAGTACATTTTTTTTCTAAAGTACCGTACACTCACTCATCTCACAAAATGTTTATGGCACAAAAAAAAACCATATTATAAGATAATTAAATACACATGTAATATATACCATCGCAATTATGTGATAGCAATTATAAAACATTGTTATAATAATTCCTAATAATTTAGGGTCAAAATTATACATTTATTTCTATAATATCAGCGATAATTTATATTTTGTAATTAACATGACTCATAATATATAACATTGTGTAAATATATATATAAAAAAAGCGGATAAGTAGAGGTCGTACTGCTGTACACTTGGTGTCAATTATAGCATGTATATAATATATCTATTTTCTATAGAAGGTCACTGTAATGGTCGGCACCCGACAACCCTCGGGTCCATTGTATACGGCCCTCTATCAATTTTACAACGATGAAATTTAATTGAATATCATATCAAAATAATCATATT